TACTCCATGCCTAGTGGTATTTTCACTGCCGTGTGCATAACCCTTATAGTAACCCAAAGTTACTGCTATTATATTTAACTCACGAATGAGGAAAATGGAGTTTGGGACCTGTCTCAGGTCACACAGCAGAGCGCATGAGAATTCTCATAGCTCGGGTCCAGATGACAGGAGCAGAAGCCAGGGTGGGAAGGCAGGAGCTTGGGGCTCCCAGCAACCCCAGAGAGGGTGAGGACGTTGCTCAAGAGCCAGTTCTCAGAGGAGGCCAGAGAGAAAAGGTGGCTGGTTTGTGAGCACACAGTGTGTGAGCCAAGTCCCTGCGGTAGCCCCACACCCTGGAAATCCAGTCTCCCACCAGTCCAGTCCCCCACCACAGGGTTCTCAGGTCTCTGAGGAGATCCATGGCTGCAACAGCATGGGCTGTGTAATATCTTCCAAGAAGGAGGAAAGTCCCGGATGGAGAGTGGAGGGTCTCGGAGGCAGGCAGGAGCCAGGCTCCCAGCAGCGCTTAGCCAGTGGCCTGGTAGTGCTGACAGGCTGGGCCTGGATCTGAGAGAAGGTCAGGAGGCTGGGCGTTGAGGTGGCAAGGAGGAAGCAGGAGACCAGGGCACTTGCAGTCAATGGAAAAGGCAGCTGGAAACTCCATTTGCTTTTCAATTTCAAGGTGGAGAGAGGCCAAGGGCTGAGGGACTGGCAGAGAAGTCAGAGCCAGGAAGGGAGAGAGAGCTGGAAGAGGGAGACACAAAAGACAGAGTCAGAGACAACAGAGATCCGGAGAGACAGAGACACACAGAGACAGGCTGCAAGTAGAGACCTCAGGGGGGAACGTCACAGACATACAGAGAAAGAGTCGGACAGTGAGCAGACGGGGAAGGACAGAGCCAGGAGGAGGAAGGGAAAACACAGACAAGGAAAGATGTCTGCGAATAGTGGCTGCAGCACTGGTCCTCAGAAACACAGAGACACACACATGCAGGTGTGCAGTGAACCCCACCCATAGTTCAACTAATGTGTTTTAGTAAACCATTTACTTTACTGGAGTGGGAGCAAGTCTCACTCTGTAGCCCAGGCTAGCCTGGAACTCACTCTGTAACCCAACCTGGTCTCAATCTGAAGAGAATCTCCCTGCCCCATCCCTCATTCATATTCTCTCTCTCTCTCTCTCTCTCTCTCTCTCTCTCTCTCTCTCTCTCTCTCTCTCTCTCTCGTACATACAAGCGTTCTGGGGCACATGCCCATGCAGACACTGGAGGAGGATGTTGAATGCCCTGCTCTACTGATCCCCAGCTTATTCTCTAGAGACAGGGTCTCTCACTGAACCTGGAGCTGGGCAGGCGCCCAAAGGCCCCAGTGGTCCTCCTGTCTCCATCCCTCAGGGCACCAGGGTTATGGTGTGCATACTCACACCTGACCTGACGTTTCAGATGAGTGCTTGCCCAGTGGGCGCTCTACTCACTGAGCTATCTCCCCAGCTCCAATAATTAGTCTTTTAAAACTTAAACAAAGGTGGTAACACCCTCCCCTTAAATCCCAGCACTTGGAGGGCAGAGACAAGCAGATCTCTGAGTCTGAAGCCAGCCTGGTCTTCAGAGCAAGTTCCAGAAAAACCAGGGCTACAAAGAAACCCTGTCTCAAAAAAAAATTTTTTTAATAAATTAAGGACCTAGATATAGTAGCTTGTGTCTGTAATCCCAGCACTCAGGAGGCAGAGACAGGAGGCTCAGGAGTTCAGGGTCGTCCTCAGTTTGAGGTCAGCCTGGGCTGCGTAAGATTCTCTCAAAAAAAAAAAAAAAAAAAAAGACAAGTAACCTGAAACACAGTTGAAGACTATGAGCATCCACACACATCTGTACATCTACACACATCCACATGCGCTAGTGCAAGCCTGTGCTAGTACACACTCATTTCTGCTCGCACATCCGTGCAACCTGTTCATACTCACTCACGTTCACACTTGCTCTGGACTTGCTGCCCTGGCCTCTAGGCCTGGCTCTGTGGGAAATGCTGTGTGGCTTTCTAGAAAACTCCTCCCTTGGAGGGAAGCCAAGGCAAAGCTAATCCCAAAATGGACCAAAGGAGTCAGCGATGGGGTTCTAAGGTAGCAGGGACTAGAGGATGGCAGATTATCCTGTTTCCTTTACACAGCCCCAGCTAAGCACATCCCTGATCAGGATGGGACCCTGCCAGGCAGGGACCCAGTGCAAAGACTGAAGCTCAGAACAGTAAAGTGACTTCCCAAGGCCACACAGCCAGGACAGGAACCAACCTGAGACCTCAAGGCCCGACCCACCAACTCCCATGGAGACCAGCGTGAAGCAGCTGCCCCTCCCTGAACCTAGTCTTTGAGGACTCAGGGCAAATGTGACAAGAGGCAAACACCCATGGGTGGCCCTGCCCACTGCAGCCACCCTGTCCATCTGCTCGTGCTAGAGTGGGAGGATACAGAATGCCAGCAAAGGCTATGTCTAGAATGTGGCCCCAAACAGTTTCAGGCATTACCCCCTCTCCTTGAAGGTGCTTCAGGAACATTGTTTCATTGGTCAGAGGTGGGTACCCTATAAAGAAGCTGTTTCTGCACCCTATTTAGCAGACGAGGAAATGAAGATGCTCTTTGCTGTGGATTCGCCCAGGGTCACACAACCCTCTGCGGTACCTCAGCACTTGCACGCTTTTCTGGAAAGAGACCTAGCCTCTGTCCTGGCCAGTCCAACTTGTTGGCTGTGCTCAGCTTCCCCATCCAGGCAAGACCGGAGGGGACCACCTGGCTGCGCTGGGAAGGCTGCACCACAGGAGTAGCAGAGATCCAGCCCAGGAATGCCGGACCTCTCACGTCCATGCACAGTAAGACCCAAGCAGTGGACCAGGAGGCCCACGAAAGCTGTCCTGCAGCGCCACCTAATGGTCACATGGTTGCGATGTGGACAGCCACACTGGATGAATTGATTGATTCCCTTTCCCTCAGATCAGTAAAACGGGACAGTTCCTACCACAGTGAATGGGGCTAACACTTGTGAAACACTACAGAAACTTGCCCCTTGCTAGTGTTTGCTATTAGGAATGTCTCCCTTCTGGATTAGTTAGAGTTTGGATGACGAGGGTGGTCCAGGAAGAATCAGCGGTTTCTTCCACATTCAATAGCATCAGGTATGCAGACCCCTCAATAGTACATGTTGGTCCAGTGAATTCAGACGTCCATTTTCACCCCCCATTCACCGACTGGCTGGTGCTGCATGGCTCCCACATGCCAACTGCTGGTTAGGGGCCTCCAAGAGAGAAATAAACCAGACAGGGGTTCCTCCTGCTTCAAAAAGAACCTCTCTGTGTTTGGAGGTAGAAAGCCTGCCTGGCACTGGGGGGGGGGCGGGGGGGCTCCATTTGAACACCAGCACAAACAAACCAAAATGGTGAAGAAGACTAGAGTTTTCAAGGTCTTTTGTTTAAGAAGCCCTTTTCACTCTTTAAACGCTCAGGTCAGGAGAGATGCTCAGGGGTTAAGAGCAGTGGCTGCTCTTCCAAAGGACCTGTATTCTGTTCCCAGCACCTAAACTATGGCTCCAGTTCCAGGGGATCTGATGCTCACTCCTGGCCCCCACAGGCACCAGGCATACCTATGGTACACAATGGTACACAGGCACACACACACACACACACACACACACACACACACAGGCAAAACATTCGTACACATTAAAGAAGAAGAAGAAGAAGAAGAAGAAGAAGAAGAAGAAGAAGAAGAAGAAGAAGAAGAAGAAGAAGAAGAAGAAGAAGAAGTAGTAGTAGTAGTAGTAGTTCAGGTACCCAAAGAACATCTGTGTGTAATATTTATTGATTTGTACCTTTTTTTTTTTTTAAAGAAAACTGACTTATTGGCTGGGTAGTGGTGGTGCACGCCTTTAATTCCAGCACTCAGGAGACAGAGGCAGGAGGATCTCCATAAGTCCAAGGCCAGCCTGAACTACAAAGAGTTTCAGGACAGCCAGCACTGTACAGCACTGTAACACAGGAGAAACCGTCTCAGAAAACAAAAACCAAACACCTGGTTTACTTTTTTTCAACACTAGGGATTAAATCCAAGCATTCTACCACCAAGCTATTAATACATCCTAGCTCTTCGGGAGCCAGGCTGACCTAAAACTTGGTATGTAGTTATGTAATCTAAGCTGACCTGAAACTTGCTGTTCTTCTGCTCAGCCTCCCAAGTGCTGGTGTTATACATAGGTGCTGTATTATGCCCAGCAGTGTTCACGGATTCACCCACTTAACAAACCAATTCATTGCTTAACAACATAAACAGCATTTTGCAGTAAATAATTGTATTTTTCAAAACAAAGCTCATTATTTTGCAAGTTTGCAATGTCTTTATTTCTTTATCTGTTTTGTTGAGATAGAGTCTTGCTGTGCAGTCCAGGTTGGCCTAGAACTCATGGCATATTCTCAGTTAAGTTTCCCAAGTATTAAGATTACAAGTGTGTGCCTCACTGGCAAATGTCTTTAAAGTGACTCAGCTAGATTCTCAACGTGCACAGGATCTGTGCGATGCTTTGACGTTCATGAGAAACTGTCTAAACCTGGCAAAGTGATTTAGGTCTGGAATGCCGGCCCATGGAAGGCAGAGAGAAGAGGATCAGGAGTTCAAAGTTATCTTCAGCTACACAGTGATTTCAAGGCCAGCCTGGGATAACCGTGTCCTTGTCTCAAAAGTAAACAAGAAGAACTGCATCTAGCCTTTCAGTTTCTTTTGCAGGAACTGAGACTATTCAATACTTCGCCCCTGGCCAGAAATGATTAGCGAGGCTGGAAGCCGAGGCTGTCGAAGACGGCACAGCTTGGCTCACAAAAAGCTTGTTAGGTAGGAATCAGACAAAACAAAGGTGGCTTCCGCGCCTCGCACACGCCTCCAGTTCCCACTAGGCTAGGGGAAACCCATTTGCTTGGGTCCCAAGAGGGCACTTCCGCCCCTTCGGAACTTTGGATTCCGGCTCCGGTTTCCGCCGAGGAGCAAACACCGCCAGGGCGGAAGTAACGCGCGGCGTGTGGGCGGGGCTCGGCAACATGTCGGCGGCGTTGCTGCGGCGGGGTCTGGAGCTCCTGGCGGCCTCAGAGGGTGAGGAGGGCTGGCCCTGGGACGTCGCGCTGTGCGGGAGGCCCCGAGGGAAGTGACTGGGAGGGCGGGAAGGGAGAGGTGCGCCCTCCGACTCGGTCCTTCGTGACTTTCCAGCCTCTCGTGCCGCCCGCGGCCAGGCCAAGGCGAACGGGGCTCCGATGAAGCGGACCCGGAGGGCCAGGGCGAAGGCCTCCCAGGCCCTTAAACTCCGGAACTCAGCGAAGGGAAAGGTGCCCAAGTCCGCTTTAGGTGAGTGCTTCGCATGGTTCGGGGGCAGACGCCTTCGAGGCGGAGCTCCAAACATTACCCGAGAAGCCGGTTGAAATCGTGGGGGGGGGCAGGTTTCGAACCCGGCAGTCTAACTCCCGAGTCTGGGCTCTCAGCTGCGTGCCTTTGCTGTTATCGGCTATGTAGCTGTTAACAGAATGAGAGAAAGTGGAAGAGCCGGGAGAGGTGACACAGACCTGTAATCCCAGCACTTTTGGAGGTGGAGGCAGGAGGACCAGAAGTTCAGTGTCATTCCTGGCAGTGTGCTTGAGTTGCTTACGAACTATAGCCCTACTGGGAAGAGAAGCAGCAGAAAGTCTCAAAACCAGCTTGTAAGTCTTAGCTAAGTGTGTGAGGCATGTGATGTAGAAGGCACTATGGTGCTCCAAGGGAGAATCAAAGCAACGAGCCAACTCAGCTGTCTGTGAAGGCTGAGCGCTTGAGGAAGTGTAAAAGCTGCCAGTTGAGAAGAAGGGGCCGTTAGCAGGAAAGGCTAACAGAGGAGTCAAGATGGAGTATCCGCCGTGAGGGGAGAGGGCTGGTTCAATGGTTAGGAGGACCTGGCTCGAGTTCCCAGCCACCCCCATGGTGGCTCACATCCTCCTGTGACTCCAGGTCCAGGGAATTAGCTGCTGTGTTCTGGCTCCACAGGCGCCTGCTCACGTACACATACACACATAGAAGCTTTCTCCGTCTCACTTCTTAAGAAATGGGGCATTCAGCCAACAGTTGCCTTCTCCGTGTGCCCGATGCCTTCCTGAACCCTGAAAAAGTGTGAGCTCATCTGATCCTCACAGCAACCCTGTGAGGTTAGCGCTTCTCTCACCCCATTTTACAGATACAGAAACGGGCACCTGCCCAGGTGGTGCACGTGGGAACAGGTTGTGTGTCCCCATGGTCTTGCTCTCAGTGTGCTCTGCTCAGATGACAGGGTTCCTTCCTCCATCACAGCAAAGAAGCGAGTTGATGGGCATCAGAGATGGCCTGTCTGCAAAGCAAGAGCCTTGTTTCTAGTAGAACACCTTAGGGTGTGGCACCTTAGGGTCAGACCTACAGACTTCAGCGGAGGAGCCTAGGATGGTGAATTGCTCTCTAGTCTTTTGGGTCCATGAGTCCCGCTGAATAAAAGGTATTTAGGTACTTGGATTTTATTGTTTGTTTCTCCAAGTTTGGTGTTTTGTTGTTGTTTTGGTTTTGGCATGGCTTGTTATAAACTCTCACTCTGTGGCTCAGCCTGGCCTGGAACTCAAAGCAGTCTCCTGCTTCAGCTTCCTAAGTGTTGGGCTCACGGGTATGCACCACCACACCCAGAGTTAAGTATTAGTTGAAATGAGAGATGGAAGGCCAGGAGGAAGCAGCATGAGCAAAGGTGGAGCTAGGAGGCGTATTTGGACACGAGTGGTTCCCGTGTCAAGGTGCCTCACTGCCTAGTTACTGGGGTTCCCTTCACTCCTGTCCTGAAGTGGGAGTTCCTCGATCCTCAAGACACAGGACTAACCTCCCACCCCTGACCCTGGATTTTCTGTGGCCCTGGTGAGCACACCATGGCCTGGTGCATAATGAGTGGGTAAGATGGCAGGACAGTAGCCAGGCATTGTGGTACATGTCCTTAAACCCAATGTTCAGGAGGCAGAAGCAGAAGGATCTCTTGAGTTAGAGACCAACCCGGTCTACATAGTCCCTATTTCAAAAAATAAAAGTAGCCAGTTTGGAGATAGCTCAGTGGCTGCCACCTTGGTTTGAGTTACCTCATCTCTGCCTGAATTGTGCAGAAGCTCACGGTTGGTCCCCAGCTCTCAGCTGCTCGCCTCTCCCAGTCATCTTAGCATCTTAGTCTCAGAAGCAACCAGGGTGAGCGCTGCACATGCATGACATGAGCCCAGCCCCACTTCCCCTCAGGGTCTTCAGGCACATCTCTCTAATTTCAGCTTTTTGAGTTTTTTTTTTTTTTTTTTAAGACAGGTTTCTCTGTGTAACACCTCTGGCTATCCTGGAACTCACTTTGTAGACCAGGCTGGCCTCAAACTCACAGAGATCCACCTGCCTCCCAAGTGCTGGGATTGGTGTGGGCCACCACCTCTGGTCTTCCTCTTGAAAGTTTTAACAGTTTCTGTCTGTCTCCAGATGCCATTTCTCTAGGTGAGCATTCTCAACCTGTCAATCACAACCCCTGGGTGTCAAATGATGCTTTTACAGGGACCACCTAAGACCATTAGAAAACACAGATAATTACATTATAGTCATTAACAGTAACAAAATTACAGTTATGAAGTAGCAACAAAATAAATTTATGGTTAGGGGTCACCACAGCATGAGAAACTGTATTAAAGGGTCACAGCATTAGGAAGGTTAAAAACCGCTACTCTAGATGTTGACCACTTTGACTTTCCAGTCTTTTTTGGTGAGACCGTCTTAGGACTTTGTTCAAAATTGCAACTCTCCACTTCTGGTATGCTCCTTTTCTGTTCCTGCTCAACTTTTTGTATGATGGGTAACCCTGACTGGACTGCATTCAGAAGAACAAGGCAGGAGAATCCTGAATTTGAGGCCAACCTGGTCTACAGAGTATACAGAGTGAGACTTTGCCCACCCACTCCCAAGGAACGGATAGCCATGGATAGCCCTCTAAGATGCTCATTACCACGCTTCTCAGTCCTTTTCCTGTAAAGTGAGACCAGGAGTCCTTGTGTGTTCTGCTTTTTACAACTCTAGAACCTGATACACAGTTGTACTCAGGGCATATCTGTTTTTATTTGTTGTTGGTGATTGTTTTTAAACAGCCTTGCTACATAACCCTATCTGATCTGGTACTTACTGTGTAGCTAGAAGCTGTCTTCCTGTCTCAGCCTCCCAAGTGCTGGATGAATCACAGCTATATGCCGCCAGCATGCCTGGCTTAAGACATAATTGTTGAGTAAGTGGCTGAGTCACATGACTAACTGAAAGCCATCCAGTAGGTGGGGATTTTCAGCAGGACCTATGGGAAAAGCAGATTTGGCTGGAAAGAGCCCAGACTGTTGAAATGACCTAGGGAAGGGACCCAGAAGGCTTCTATAGTGTGATGAGTCTAAAATGACATGCTCTGCCTGCCACCTACAGCCGAGTACCAGAAACGACAGAGTCGAGACCACCTCAAAGCAAACCTGAAGTTTATGACCAGCGTGAGAAGCACCGTGCCAGAGTCTGTGACCCAGCAGGTTTGTTTAGGGGTGCAAGCTATAGGAAGGGACCCAGAGGTGATAGCTGAGGCTCTTCTTCAGGATCTATTTGGATATGTCTCACTAAATACAGTGTGGAGTTGGTCCAGCCCTGCCCTGAGCCCTAAGTCCCTGTGATCTCAAGGGTGTCCACCTGTGCTTCCAAAAATGGAAATTCTGTGACCTCACTCCAGAACCTTTCCAGATTCTGCAGCAGAACCAGGGCCGTAAAGCTTGTGATCGGATAGTGGCCAAGACGACAAAGAAGAAGAAGAAGGCTGAGGGCACTGTGTTCACTGAAGAAGACTTCCAGAAGTTCCAGAGGGAATATTTCGGCAGCTAGGCTTCCTGAAGGAATGGTGGGGACAGAAAGCACTAACGTCCTTTGACTGCCATATCTCTGCTGTCTCTGTGGCTGTGCAGTGCTGTGACATGGGCGACCAGCAGGTGGCAGTGCAATCCTGCCTGACTCAGGAAGCCCTAGAGCTGGTATCCCAGGGACACTGGACTAGAGCTGCAAGCCCTGAGGCAGATTTGCACTCAGATTGAAGTGGATTTCTGCCATGTATACCCTGCCAGAAAAGATTCTGACCTGATATCTTTGACCAGGACAGGACCCTGGGGTTATTTGCTGTGAAATAGGGCCAGGTGTGTGGCCCTCTCAGACCATACCTCCAAGAACTTCAAGTTGGCTGTTGAGTTCAAGTAAATGGATTTGAACAAATGTGGGTTCAGGTTTTGTGTGTGTGCGCGCATGTGCTGCTGATGGGACTTACAGCCCATCTCCCATCTCAGTGTGGATGAAGGTGCTCCATGTCAGAAGCTCCCCAGTTTAGGCCCAGCATAAATCCCTCCCACCAGTGATGCCCTCCTCAGTGGGCATAGCCACTAGCTGCTAGCCTTGCCCAGGAAGTAAGTCTGGGAATCTAGAAGTGGAGCTGCCTCAGCCCCCCTGGAGCTTGGGGTCAGCATGGGATGGGGGCATAGGTCATGGTTTCAGGAGTCATCCTGAGCAAACAGATTGATATTTAAGTCTGTACCCCAGCCAAGGACATCAGTGAAAGCTAGGCTTGTGCCACCTCAGGGCAAACTAGCCCTTTTCCAGCCAACACAGTGCCAGACGCAGGTGGCAAAGGAAAGGTCATGTGGAAAGAACGCACTGTGGAAAGAACGGCCCAGACAGCTACTCTCCTGCCAGAGACCAGGAGCCCCTCAGTGGAGATAGATGGATTCCTAAAGGAGAAAACTGATGGCCTTCACAAACATCTTCTGCCCTGGGCCCGCCTCTCCATTTTAAGCCCAGGGGTTCCTCGGGTCATGTGGCTCCTGAACCTCAGGGAGAATAGTAGAGGAAGGGTATTGATGGGTCTCTGACAAGACAAATGGTTGGGCTTTGTCCTCAGTAAGAGAGCTGGGTTCAGTGCTGCATCTCAACATGGGGACACAGAACTACCCACAGCCTCCATGTGGCCTCTGCCTAGTGGGAGGCTTGGCCATCCATCTGGGTCAGAGCAGGCAGGAACAGGAGAGAAGGAAGGTGTTGTGACTGTAAGCTCGTGATTGGGAGCTCTGGGTCCTCTGTGGTGTGGGTTCGAAGGGACATGGGTGCTAGTCTGCAGACCCTCTGTCCCTTCCTTTTTGCTAAATTTTGCCAAGTGGCCTTGGGACTCATTTCCTCCATCTTAAGCCACTCAGCAAACAGCTCCATGCTTATTCTTGGAGGGAGGTGACTCCAGGGACCCTTTCTAGGGAGTTCACACCTGTGGTCACATGATCACCTAGAGGATATCGCCAGAGATCCTGTACATTTCCTGGTATAAGTCCTCAACTTGCTGCCAAGAAGAAAAGGTTAGACACTGGAAGAATGTAGTGCTGACCATTATCCCCAGTGGCCCTATAAGAGAATACCAGTTGTTACATTCAGGCCAAAGGGGCCAGCAAAGGGAGGCCTACCCCAACTAAGGCATCCCAGATAGATACAAAGTTTGATGATCTACACCCCCATTCCACGTGCTTCCTGTGTCTCCTGCTGTGGGCTGGGCCATCTGCACAGCCAGAGAGACTGGAGCTGGACTGCCATGTGCTGGTCTTGGGAACTCACAAGATCAACCACCAGGACATCAGCCTTGCCTAGAGTGGTCTGACTTGGGGGTTAGGGAGGTCTCAACCCAAGGCCCAGCTAGAGCTGATGAGGTTCTGGATAGGTGGGTTGGAGAGCTCTCGCTTTTTATACCCAGTTTCCCCAGCCAGGAGGCCCAGCCGTCTGCCCTGAGAAGCCCCCAGCCTGAGCTGGCCTGTCTCTGAGCATTTACCTGCTATCCACCCTGGCCAAGATCCCGTGCCCATCCCAGAGTGCCTGGGGAGAGGGGCTCAGCACTGGGGTCTCACCTCCCCAGCTTACTCTCTTCCTGGGCTCTTCTGTCTCCAAACCCTACATCCACCACCTCAATGGCCAAGACAGCCCAGCTCCTGCCTGCATAAAAGGGTGAGCCCAAAGGCCTGCTCCCACTTCCTCATCTGCAGATAGGGCTACTGCTTCGTCATCCTCCTACCCACACCCAGACCCCACCTTGTTCTCTCCCTCAGCATGGTCCTCCAGGAGCAGGTCCTCCACCCAGACTGCCAGGCAGTTCACACACCTTTGCTGTCCCTTTGTTTCCCTTAGGAAAAGTGAAGTTCCACAAAAGCTGGGCTGTTGACCCTGTGTACATCTGTCAGTGTTTATGCATAATGGGCAGTCACCAGTGGCCATCTTCTGCCAAGTGACCGGAGAGCAAGCACTGCTCCCACCCATTTTGTCAATACCTGGCAGGGACTTCAGTCACCATGGTCAGGGTGGCTAGATCTTGGCTGTCTCCCTGGTCCCTCTTTAAGCAGGTCAAGTATGGTGGTGCATGTCTATAACCCTAGCACTTGGAAGGTGGAAACTGGGAAAGCAACAATTCAAGGTCATCCTTGGATCATCTAAGACCCTTTTTAAAGCATTGCCAGGGTCACCTGGAAGCACTGACATGACATTAGCCGTGCAGAGGGGTAGCAGCCATAGGAAGTGGAAGGAATCGCTGCCAGGTGAGGGTAGTCACTGTCCCTAATGTCCTCCACCTGCTTACTGTCCCACTCCCTCTTCTCAGTGCCTTCCTCCCACTACCATGTTCTAGGCTGGATTAAGCTGCCCCTTGGCCAAATGCATCAATGCTGAGGGTGACTGTAGTTTTTTTTTTTTATAGCTCATGGGGGTGGGGCTGAAATAACAGGACTAAAGTGAGGGATTAAAGCCAGCCTTAAAACCAGCTGCGCCAATGAGGGCGGTTTCTGCCCCACTGCCACACCCCACCCCCAATGAAACCAAGCCTAAGCAGTGTAGTTAACTGATCCTTTTATGGGTGGCTTTTTTTAACTAGGGCCTCATAACTCAAGCTAGCCCCAAACCTGTGATCCTGCCATAGCCTCTCCAGAGCCAAAATGGATGCACACCATAATCATGTGTACAAACGAATGAATCAAGCTTTCTGCCTCTACTGATACACATGCTCTTTGCTTTAGTTGTAGACAAGTTGTTCCCACCCCCAGCCAGACCTTAAGAAATCCTAAATTTCTTCAGCAAGGTGTCCCTGCACCTCATCTAGCACTAAGGTTCTCTTGAATTTGAAATTTGCCTTTTCCACATAGTCGAGTTCTGGGGCCCTATCTTAAAACTCAACAAAAAAATCAAGTGAAAGTCGAGTAACCAGGACAGTTGTAACATGCTACTCAGTAAAAATGCTCATGGCTGACTTAATACCATTCTTAGAAAAATCTTTTAGCTGTTAATTGAATTTAGCTGTTCAGATGGGGTGGGTGATCACTCTGGACCTTTAAAGCCCAAAGTAGAAACAAAGGCATTTCTATACCTTCCACTAGCCAAAGACTATACATGGGTGGATCCCTACTAGTATGAAGCTGGGAAGCCCGTGGTCTTATGAACTCCCTATCTCAGCGTACATTAGATACAAGAGACTACATCCATTAACAGCTAGCACTCAGCTGAAATCTGCTGGCACATGCTAAGTCCTGCAGGCCTTAATCCACTTTACAGACTTAGGAAGCAAAGCTAGAGTCCTAGCTTCCCATCCACTTCCTGCCTCAATTCATATGCTTACCCACTGCTTAACCAACCACCCCAGCACTAATACAGTATGCAGGTGCAAACAGCCCCCAGCATCTCAGTGAGCAACACCAGCTCTATTCCTTCTTCAGGGACTTATCAGCCCTCAACAGGTTTCCTAAAGTCTCCTGAACTGTAGAAGCTTAGAGAAATCTTATCAGCTTGTGTACTCAAGTACTATTCCACCTTATCTAGGCACCTATATGGCAGACGTCTGGCATAAAGCCAATTATGAACAGATGGTGTTCAGGTGCTTGGTTCCTCTCAGTAACCCAAATCCCCCAGCTAGCACATAGCCCAGCCTTGCCTCACTTAAACTTAGGCCTGTGTGAAGTACTAAGATTACTATGCACCCTACACACAAGTCTATTAGAAAGAGAATGACACAGCAAACCTGCACTGGTACTTTACTACAAAATAATTTATTACAGCAAACACAGCTTCAGCACAAGACTATGTACAAGTACAAAGCACCTGGCTACCCTACTAGGGAACTCTCTTCTTCTCCCTTGCCTTACGGACCTCTTCTATCAAATCTTTTAGATACTGGATCTCTTTGGCAAGAGAATCTGCCTTCTCTTTCAGAGCTTCATTCTTCTTTTCTAGCTCTTTGCACTCGCCAGTGAGGGCTTCCTGCTCAGCCCGCTTCTTCTGGCGGTATCTAGTGGCTGCTGTCTTGTTTTGCTCCATTTTTTTCAGCTTCTTATCCAACTTTTCAATTTTCACCTTAGCTGTCAAAGTAACTACAGGGGGGTCATAAGGTTTAGGTCGAGGAGACCCACGGGGAACACCTGGAGAGGTAATAATGTTTGGTGATCCCCTGGAGGTGGAAGGGCTATGCTGGGGAGAGCCCAGGTAGGACTCAGGGCTCATACAGATACCACTGTCATTATCTGAGGGGGTGTCTTCATCCTTTACACACTGAGGGATTACAGTAATAGAAGCAGCAGAGTCAGGCTTCCTGTCTCCTTCAGAGATATCAACTTCACTGCCTAGCTCTAAACTGAAGGAATGATCTGGAGTGGAAGACAGGATCCCTGAGGAACAGGGAAAAGGCTGCAAGAATGCAAAGGGGGCAACCTGGTCGATTTTTGTTGCACTTTCTGGGAGATGGCCAATTGGGTTCACTGTCATGGGCTCCTTATTAGTCTCTTGGACTAGAGGGGCAAAGAGATTGCATGTATCATCCAACGTGGCCAAAAGCTCATCTGGCATGGTTTCCAGGTCATCAAAACGAAACAGAGCATCGAAGTCAAACTCTTTAAGATCCATTTTCTCCAACATCCAATCTGTTCCGGAGAAAGCATCCTCTGAAGAAAAAAAAAATCAACAAAAACAGTTAATGACTCAGGCCACATACTCAAGGCAGAAGAAAGCCATTAGAATACCAGACCCACACATGAAATGAGCACCCGGGAGCAGGTGGTGGCCCACTCACCCTTGCCGGTGTCTGAGGCACTGACCAACCCATCCACAGCCAGCCATTCGGAGGAGCCCGCCTTAGCCTTGTCGCTGGAGAACCCATGAGGTTTGAAGTGCTTGGCCACCTCCAGGTAGTCATCTAAAAGACCTAGGCTTTC